ATTAATAGGAAGATACAAGCAAACGACACCAAATGAATGAATTCATTTTGTTTCGTCTGGATCTTGTCAGCCGCTTACAGCCTGTGCTAATTAAAAATCGTTATTACAAAAGGTTCAATACAGCCTTCTTACGAGATACTAACAAACTCAACGAATTCAAGATAGCTCATAAAAACAGGTTCCAAGCATTACAAGATCTACTCAAAGAAGAAGGAACTGGAAATGGACCAGAGAAGCGCTAACTTCGTGTCACGAGGTAATGGGTCATAAGAAGCATCATCATAAGGAATGGATCTCTGTCGAAACCGTGGTCAAGATTCAAGAAAGGAAGAACAAGAAGACAGCAATGAACAACAGTTGAACGTGAACAGATAAATTCAAGGCCCAAGCTGAATACACAGAAGTAAACAAGCAAGTAGTGAAGAGCATTAGGGCCGACAAGTGGAAAAGTGTGGACGAGCTAGCACCGACAGCGGAAAAAACTGCAGTACGAAACATGAGACAAATGTGTGACACGAAGAAGGAACTAGCAGGGAAATATGGTGAACCAGAGCAACCAGTCAAGGACAAATAAGGCAAAGCAGTCACTGAGATTCAAGAACAGACGAACATGTTAGTAGAACACTTTGAAGAACTATTGAATGGATCGACCCCACTGAACCCACCAGACACCGAGCCAGTATACACAAACACTCATATTACTGTCACTCCACCAACGATCGAAGAAATCAGGATGGCTGTTAGACAAATCAAGAGTGGGAAAGCAGAAGCACCAGACAAAATACCAACTGAAGCACCGAAGTCACACATAGAAGTAACTTCAAATATGCCCAACATCCAATTCAGAAAGATTCAAAAGAGTGATCAACTGCCGACAAACTGGAAGGAAGGACACCTCGTTAAGATAATAAAGAAAGGTCTTGGCAAGTATGAGGACTACAGAGGCATCACACTACTATCGGTGCCAGGAAAAGTTTTCAACAGTGTTATCAAGCTGGATGAAAGATTCAGTAGACGCCCAACTTGGAGATAAACAAATTAGATTCCGTAATGATCGGTCGTGCACAAACTAAATCACGACACTACGTATAATCTTTGAACAATCAGTTGAATGGAATTCGTCACTACACATCAACTTCACTGACTATGAGAGCATTTGACAGCATGGATTAAAGAATCTTGTGAAGTCTACTTCAACACTCTGGTACATCTGAGCAGATCGTCATTATCATCCGGAATTCATACGACGGACTACACTGCAATGTCGTGCGTGGAGAACAGCTGATAGATGCACTCCAAGTGTGTACCAAAGTCAGACAAGGCTGATTACTTTCTCTCTTCCTCTTTCTTCTGGTGGTTGATTGGATTATGAAGACCTCCACATCTGAGGAAAGTACGGAATACAACGGACAATTTGGATGCAACTTCACAGATGATTAAGTCCTTCTATCCCATACACACCAACAAGTTCAAGTCATGACAACCAGCGTAGTAGCGGCCATTACAGCAGTGGGCCTCAACATACACTTGGGTAAAAGCAAGATCCAAAAATATAACACATGGAACACCAACTTAATCACACTTGATGAAGATTTAGATGAGGTTGTAAATTTGAAATGTACCTGGGAAGCAAGGTCTACATTCTCACTACTGAAGAACATGAAACTCAAAACAACTGTCTGTCAACCGACATCGAATTTAGAATCTTCAATACGAACGTCAATACAGTTCTATTGTACGAAGCTGAGACTTCGAAAAATGCCACAACCGTCATCAAAACAGAACAAGTATTTATGAACAATCGTCTATGTAAGATGCTGAGTGTCCGTTGACCGGATACCATCAGCAACAGCCTACTGTGGGAGAGAACAAACCAGCTTTCAGATAAAGAGGAAATTAAGGAAAGACGCTGAAAGTGGATAAGATATTGCTTACTTACTTACGCCTGTTACTCCTCGTGAAGCAGCATAGGCCGCTCACCAGCATTCGCCATCCAACCCTGTCCTGGGCAATCCTTTACAGCTCCTTCCAGTTGTTATTCATGCTTTTTATATCTGATTCTATTCCCCGACGTAATGTGTTCTTTGGCCTTCATCTTTTCCGATTTCCTTCAGGATTCCAAGTTAGGGCTTGCCTCGTCATGCAGTTTGACGATTTGCGTAATGCATATTCTATCCACTCCCATCGTCTTTTCCTAATTTCCTCCTCAGATGAAAGCTGGTTTGTTCTCTCCCACAGAAGGCTGTTGCTGATAGGACATACATTGTGAAAATAATCAAACTGCACCATGAGGCGAGTACTAATTTGGAATCCTGAATGTAAACGGAAAAAGGAAGATCAAAGCACACACTGCGTCGAAAATTCGAAGCAGATATCAAAATGATGAATAGCAACTGAAAACAACTAGAAAGGATTGTGCAGGATAGAATTGGATTCATCATGATAGTGGGAGGTCTATGCTCCAATAGAAGTAACAGAAGTTAGTAAAGTAAGAAATATGTTTGGGACTTGAGTAAGTAGTGAACACACTAATTCGCACAAAATTCTTTGATTGTAAAATATTTAATCGACTGTTCTCAATTAAAATCAACAAATGATTCCACTCCATACAATGGTCCAAACTGTATGTCGTTATTTAAAAGATGAAGTTTATTGAACAATAAATATTTGAAAATTGACTATCAAAACTTAGTAGTTTACAAAGAGTAAAAAACTTATGAGACACAATATGACAAATGGGCTAAGCGATGAAACTAAAAATATTTTCTTTCAGCAAAACACTAGAACAATAATAGCACTCTGTGCTTAACTCATCAAAACAAACTACAATCATTTGAAAAAATCTTTATTATAATAAATAACGATTGAATTGTAGTACGTTTGATCTTTTATAAAAAAGGTATACAAAATCATTCTAATCTTTCCCATTGATTCAGTATTTATGTATCTGTAAGATAAAATTAACATAAGATTTAATACAAACAACTAATTAGCAAATATGAAATCTTAGCACTAACTTATGAGTTATTACATTTTAGAATTTAACAGTTTAAACTGCGACAAACATGCATACATTCAACAGTTAGTAATTAGTGACTGGATAAGAATGGTATCAACTTCAGGTGATTACTACTTACTTACGCCGGTTACCCCTTGTGGAGGATCATAGGCCACTCATCAGCACCGGATGGAGTTCAGGTAATTATTAACTAGTCAAAACTAGATTTTGGTAGTATATTATTATATTTATCAATTTTAAAAACAAGTAGTGTATTTGTCATATAGGTGGCAAACTTTCATTTTACTGTTTATTTCATCCATTGACTGAGTAAATTCAGGACTATTTAGAACATTAAATAATTGATTAGTTATCCTTGACCTATAACAATATAACAATAGGTTTACATCCAATCTTCATTTAATTGTAGATTAAGTAAAAGCTCGTTTTTAAATAGAATAGAAATAGAAGAGGTAAGGAATGTTCATTCGAAGATTCGAATCTTAATAAACTAATTTGACAGAAAAGACATTGAGTATTATAAATTAAAGTAGTCAGTAAATATGGAAATGCGATTGTAGAATGCTTTACTGATTTTTTGTTTGTAACTACACTACTTTTATTGGTCAAACCATGAATAGTTTTCTTCAGAAATCAGATAATAAAATGACAAGGTTATTGTTAAAAAGTTGTTAGGTTTAGAATTAAAATGAATTTATCAAATAGTTTAGACTTGGGGTATATATTTTTTTAGTAAACCGAGTGATTACACGTGAAATAATCTCAAATCATTAATTTATTCAATTCATTAGGCGTAAACAAACATCAGATACTTACATACCCACTAATTGTGCTTGAAAAAATGTACAACAGTGAAGAAACTTAATTGTCGGTGTTGTTTATCTTAGTACAATAATGAAATACATAACAAAAGTATAGAAGAAAGCATAACGTGTAACAAATGTGTGGTGCACATCATCACAAGAGTTTATAAAATAGGTGATTAAAAATTTTGTGAAAAATTTTCACATTTCGTAATGAAATTACAAAATCCAGTTTGTAGTATAAAACATATTTCATGCAGGAATGTTGACATAAATGTGTATATCAAATGGAAGACTTTAATCGAGTGTTGTGATACAAACAAGTGTTTGAGCGGAATAATATAATTGTGAAGTGTTTTATAACTTGTTAGTTTATAGATCTTGTAATAAAAAATGATATGAGTTGACAGTTTCACTTACCCTGAATTTTGCGAACCCAACCTTTAAGTTCAACCGTATCAAAAACACAAGGATTATAGATTTCGGATCAGCATCAAAACAATACAACCCTTCAATTTACAACTTTCTATTGCTAATGAAGAAGATTTAGGTTTTGTACACAATATGACAAAATAGACATTCATTAATGAATGATCCCTTTTTGTTTATCGGAAAGATATCTCTCAAAGAAGAAAATCTATCAGTACAATAATGGTCCATTCCATATAATTTATATTGTTCTACTAATATTACAATAAAGAGATGCCCATTCCAAGAAACATTATGTTTTTTTCAGTAAATATATTCTCAAATGATATCGCGTTAAATTATGCTTATTTGACATTTATTTGATTATACATGTATCTACAGAAAGTTAGTAATAAACATATTCTTGCCAATGTTTTGTGACTGAATGTAAGCCATTTCTTCAGAGTAAATGAATAACCGAATTCAATTAACACAAGTTTAAATAGTACAAAGGAAACAATGCAGAATAGTACAATCAATATCACAATACGTCTGAATAATGTTTATGTCAATTTATTTTTGATCAAGGTGAATTTGTCTGACCTTTCACTGAATTAATTTGTTGTCTGATTCATTTGGTGATATTTTTCTCATTCCTCACATAACTAGGCCTCGTGGGTCTAGAAATTAGATAGCAGTGAGTGCATTACTAATTATTTAAATGAGTAATTCGACATTTCTGGAAACCATAGTGAGGACTAAATAAAGACAACATTGGTTACCAATCAGTATAAACACCTCAGTATTATAGTAGGTTAGTCTTAACATAAATATCCCAATGGTAACTTCTTTGTCTGTAACGCGAGTTAGAATCTCAAGGGATGCACCAGGCACACTTTACTGATTAATGTCAATTATCAAAAAGACCATATGTAAAGTTTCTTGCTCACCACCCATAAATAACTGCTAACTATCAGTATAAGAATTTTATGGGAATTACTGAGTGTTACTGAGACCAGACAACACTGAATAGCTGTTTTGTGTTAGCATGAGACTCCTTGGTAATGAACGTCCACGACTCTACCGGAGACCGAACCCAGGAACTTAAGGCCTCACCTATCACGAGTTCACTTAATCTGCGAACGAGAAACAAGACTCGGTGACCAAAGACCAACAAGCTAGCTATTGATGCGTCCCAGCCCTGCTAACTAGAGAGAGAAGTTCAAGCTTGTAATGGGGAAGTATATTCCGCAAACAGCCAGAATTGAGCGATAACAACAAACACAATTCAAAACGTATATATACAATACAAAACCGTCCTTGGGAAGAGTTACTAAATAGCATACTAAAAGACGCAACGGACCAATAGCATTTACGATATTTCTCAATGGGAAATACGACATGAAGGTGACAAGAGCGCCTTTGGCGTGAAAACAAAGAAATTCAAATTTTCTAAATAAAATTACAAAATCAGATCCTTTCTCAAGTGAGTTCTGGGGATCTAACGCCCCTAACAGAAGTTTAGTTTAATAATGAAAAGATTTCGACCTTCATTTAATGATAAATGTACAAATATCGACAGTTAATATTCTACTCTAATTTTAACATCCAAAACAATACAAATATAAGATTCAATATTTCATAACATTAAATAACTTGATTAACTATAAGTTTTTATAAAGATAAAGATAAATCATTACCGTTCGTTATATTCAAAAACTATTGCTTACTTATTTCTTACCTGATGAACTAGAAGTACTTGTTTCATTTTTTTCTACACTTTCTCCTATTGGCATTGTATCAGTAGTGATTTCAGTTAATTCATTTTCTTCATGTTGTATTTTATCATCAGAGTTTGTAAATTGTTGCCTCTCCGATTGTATATTTTCTTCATCATTTACTTTCGGTGTATTTAACATATTTTCCTCATCTAAATAAATTAGCCAGGAAAAAAAATCAAGTTTTCTTTAATTTTTAAAAGTGAGTCGTTCACCATCAAATAATAAAATCATAAATCAAATTATCGAATTATTGTTTATCTTTTCATGTATCAATACAAGTTAAAACTATGGTCAAAAAAATGTTGTTCCCAACTCGAATGATTAGATTCTATAGAAAAATGAAATCATGTGGTAATCAGATCTAGTTAATAACAGAAAACGACCATTATTTGCAAATAATCAGCTGCTTTGTAACTGGGTATCTAAGAGATCAAAACTATGAGATTGAGTGATTTTATGGATTTAGTAACAATTTACTCAAGTCTAATTTCCTAGGACAAAAAAAATTATATCAATATGTATATATGTAACAGCATTATGATGGTTGATACTTAACAGGCAATGTTAAATTGGTTTGTTTTGATTCTGATGGTTATTCGTTAGTCAACAGGCATTAGAAATGTGTCTTAGTTATCTTGTAGAATGAAAACGTGTTTTATTCATTTTTGTATTGGTTAACTGAAACTTTCCATTGATGTTTAAGACTACAATTGATCAGTCTCTAATTGACATATGTGCTGTAGTGGCTTTGCTTCGTTAATCGATCAGCCCGATAACCGTTATAATATAAATCTCAACGATGATTAAAATCAGAAGGCAATAAAACGCGGTAACTACAATTTATTAGGTGATAGCGCATGCCACAAAGCTATAAGGACATGGAACGAATTTGAAGCGGAAAGGCGAACAAGTATATACGAGCAATTACATAGGCAAATTTATAGTCAAAATGCACAAGGATGAAGCAAAGCAAAGCAACGACTAATAGTATGACTTGAGTATATATATACATGGGGAGGCGGATGAATCACTGAGTAATACTTAAGCGATCAATATTTTAGCTAGTCTGTCATGTGATCTAGTGGTCATAACAGTACAAAAATATGGGAATTGTTACCATTCAAACAGCATCGTTTGTTAAGTAAGTTAATGAAAGAGCTTAACCAAAATGAACCATAATACAAATTGGTTGTAAGATAGTTGTATAATGCATTCTGTACGAATCGCCTCAATATGGCCATCAGTCACAAGCACTATAAGCTAAAATAATCGTGGCTAGCAGTGAAATCCAGGACCATAATCTTATCTTATAAAGATGTGTTTGGTTTGATAAAAGCAACTTTGCAATAGTTTAAGCAACAGCTGTAACAAGTAGTGGATAGGTGAAAATACTGAAAATTTCCAGGGACAAACAACTAACATCGGCTAACAAACAAATAATTTAAAAAGATAAAGAATCTATAGAGACCGATAGTTACGAGAGTTATGATGATTAACAAATTATAATTCTATAGAAAGTCGAATCAGAACAACCATTTCTCATTTACACTTCCCCTGTGAATATTGACTGTTTGTTAAAAAGAAAAATCTATATGAATATCTGTAAGAGTAAAGAGTGTCTTCAAACTTAAATAAAGAATTCAAAATGTATGTACATGAAAAAAAGCGCATAAAAGATTCCTTTATACAAATCAATTCAAATATGTTGCAATAACAGTGTCAATATTCAAACTAATTTAAGTTTTATAACTTCACTTCAAATAGTAAATAACTTACTATCAAGTGGAGTATTACCATCTTGTAATACATATGTAAATATAATACAATCATTACAATATTATGGATTATATTAAATACATCTAATTACTTACTTACGCCTGTTACTCCTCGTGAAGCAGCATAGGCCGCTCACCAGCATTCGCCATCCAACTCTGTCCTGGGCAATCCTTTACAGCTCCTTCCAGTTGTTATTCATGCTTTTTATATCTGATTCTATTCCCCGATGTAATGTGTTCTTTGGCCTTCTTCTTTTCCGATTTCCTTCAGGATTCCAAGTTAGGGCTTGCCTCGTGGTGCAACTTGATGATTTGCATAATGCATATTCTATCCACTTCCAGAGTCTTTTCCCAATTTCTTCTTCAGTTGGAAGCTGACTTGTCCTCCCCATAGAACGCTGGTGCTGATGGTATCCGTCCAACGGATGTCGAGTATCTTACGTAGTTAATTGTTGATAAATACTTGTACATTTTTGGTGATTCTATTAATAGTTCTCCAAGTTTCAGCTTCGTATGGTAGAACTGACTGTCTTAACATTCGTCTTGAAGATCCTCACTTCCATATTGGTTGAAAGTTGTTTTGAGTTCCATATGTTCTTCAATTGTAGGAATGCGGTCCTTGCTTTGCCAGCCAATCCTCATATTTACGTATGCATCTGAATCTCCTTGTTCATCGATGATGCTTCTCAGGTATGTGAACGATTCTACATCTTCCAGAGTTTCGACATCATGAGTGATTGGATTGCTGTTCTCCGTGTTGTATTTGAGGACCTTGGTTTCCACTTTTGTATGTTGAGGCCTCCCGATGCAGAGACTGCTGTTACATGTGTTGTCTTTATCTGCACCTGTTCGTGTGTATGAGTTAGGAGGGCTAGGTCATCTGCGAAGTCCAAATCGTCAACTTGGTTCTAAGTTGTTTATTGTATTCCATGTTTTCCCTCAGATGTCGAGGTCTTCATAATCTAGTCGACCACCAGAAGAAAGAGGAAGGGAGAGAGTAGACAGCCTTGTCTGACTCCGGTCCTTACTTGGAATTCATCTGTCAGGTGTCTTCCATGTACGACTTTGCACTGTAATCAGTCGTATGAGTTCCCGATAATGTTGACAATCTTCTCAGGAACTCCATAGTGTCAACGAATTTTCCGCCTGTAGCTCTTCTAGAGTTACTGCCGGTCTCAAGCCTTTGTAAAGGAGGAGAATTGGGCATGAGGTTAGCGACCCCATCCCGTTGAAAACTAACTCGCTAAAAAAACTCTAACCATTTTAATTAATAAAAGTTTACACATAAATTGGAAATAATTATTACCTTTTATTTCTTCATTTTCTTGTGATCTAGCTGATTCAGCTTCTAAAATTCAAAAAAATTACTTTGTTTGGGTTTGTCAATTGTAATAATTAAATTCTAATAATTTTCTAAAATACACAAACACTAATACAAATCTAACCATTAAGAATATACACATAAACATTTGCAGTTACATATGTAGAAAACTTCAAAGTGTATAATTATGGAAATCTACATTGGCTTGTGCACATATTATTAACAACAGAGTCTTACCCATAACTACACGTTGATCAGATTGTAGTATTGGTTCTTTTATAAATATACATATACATATATGCATGTATACAAATATTTAAAGAAAATATAATTTTCCATTTAAAATCTTCATAAGTAAAAATCGAAAACGTAATGTTCATTTAAACTGATTACTTTAGAATTATTAATTCGATTTGATAAGATTTGTGTAGATTATGATGAAAACTACTTATATATACTGAACTACTTAAATTGTGAGGTTTTGTTTTGAATATTTTTCTGGTTAGCATGGATCTGATGCAGATGTGAAGGTGTATTTTCTGTCATCATGTTAAGCCCATATATCTTACTCTCACTTTCGAACAGCTCATTCTATTCATTCTACTTTAGTCACATTCTGACCTTGTTATTTATCCGCTTATCAATCTTGACTGTTTTATATGAGTGCGTAGGTGTGTGTACACTTTCTATCCCGTTACTCATCACATATCTGTAACTTACTTTTGTGTAACTATAAGTATTAATTGGAGCTTGACTAAAGGGGAGTTGGCTTACTCTCCATCTCCACTGCTCATCGTTTTGCATTGTTCTATTCCATTCGTTCTATATATAAGATATGTGTATTCCAAAGTCCATTCTCGTTATTCGAATTATTCCGTTATTGACTAACGCAATTTAAGTCGATGATGATATACGAGGATAGGTGATAAAAAACATTCATACGATCTAATTGGAGTCAGATCAACGAGCCACTAAAGTGGAGAGCCGGTCAACAAACATCATCCGATCTAAATGATGACAACATAACGAGCCCCACAAAAAAGGCGCGGATCGACAATGCAAGAGCAGAATATTTACAACTGAAGAACATCTCGAACTCAAAACAATTGTCAACCAACACCAACTTCAGAATTTTCAATACAAATGTGTTAGGATATTCGGAAAAATATACCAATAATTATCATGTTAAGTCTAATGGTGTCCTTGAATTTTAAATGGACATTTCCTATTGGCCAATGTTTATTTCACTTGTTAAATATTGTACAAATGTTGTTTTCTATTTTATGGTACGATGTGGTCTGCTTGACTGGTATATAAACAGAGTCTCAGAGGCTGAGACTTGTGTCCTAGACTCAACTGGCTGGGCTAGACAGGGAAGCAGGGCCGGTCGGGACTCTAGGTCGTTCGTGTGTGTTTGCGTTTCATTGATCCGATTGATAAATACGCTGCGCGTCTAATCTTGCAGACATCAGTTACAACAAAATGTCGAAACAGTTCTACTGTAAGGGACGGAAACTTGGAGAACTACGAAAGCCATCATCCAGATGATACGAGTGTTTATTAATAGTTGTCTACGAAAAATACTTTGGATCCGTTGGCCGGACATTATTAGCCACAACCTATTGTGGGAGAGAACAAACCAGATCCCAGTGGAAGAAGAAATCAGGAGGCGCTGGAAGTGAATAGGACACACATTGAGGAAAGCACCCAACTGGGTCACAGGGCAAGCCCTCACATGGAACCCTCAAGGCCAAGGGAGGAGTGGAAGACCAAAGAACACATTACACTGATAAATGGAGATAGATATGAAAAAATGAAGAAAAATTGGATGGAACTAGAAAAGAAGGCCCAGGGCAGAGTGGGTAGGAGAATGCTGGTAGGCGACCTATGCTCCATTAGGAGTAACAGGCGTAACTAAGTAATTATGAATATTGCATACAATTTTAATTAATTTCCTACGTAAACTTATTTTCGGAATGGGTTACTTTTAACGACCTTATTTAATTTTAATTCACTTTAATCAGTATATATGTGTATATGATTAACACGTAATTAGTTAAATCACTTATCTAAGTAGTATGAAATTATATGACTAAAATGTTTTACATTCAAATGGAGTCTAAATTAAATAATCTTTAAAATAACAAACTAAAATTCAATTGAAATACAATTAACAATCAATAAGGATGACAACTTGCCCAAGATGATTAATCAGTTTTCAAAAGCTATAAAATGCAAAGGCGTGTAGAACGGAAATAAAGACAGAAACCCAATAACAATTACGGAAGACGATTATGGTAGCTTCTTAGTATGAGATTTCCATTAGTGAATACCGAAGACTATAACGTTAGTCCCACAGTAGACCTTCGCGATTCATGTTGAACCTGTTACGTTTAAACCACTGGGTTATTATCCAATGATTTGCATTTTTAATATCAGTCGATTTGTGATATCTCCAACCTGTCATCCAGTGCTACGGCTAATACCTATACTAAACGCTTTATTTCATAGGTCACGTCTTTTCCTTAAGAAATTAGAAATTATTCACAAAATCCTTCACACAATATTGTTATCTTTATAACTGTAGAATCTTGATCAACTTATAGTTCTAATTACTAAAGAAGTTTTTGTGTATACACATGAAAAACATCATTCTAGTGTTTGAAATGTAATTTCATAAGTGACTTATCCAAAGTACATTAAATATATAAGTTATAAGCTAAGGTGTGCCTACCTTGCTCTTCTTTAACTGCATATGAGTGAGCTAAATTTTTAAAAAAATTAAGCGAATAATAATATTAATGATTTAAATGCTTGGTAATCCTATTAGTATAATATCATGATAAAAGTAGATCAAAGAAACATGACTTTCTGTGATGATAAAGTAATGACAATCATAATTTACATATGTATTAATCGAAAGTAATCAAGTCATCTAACAGTGTACAGAAGAGTGATGCCCGATTTGTTTAGACAATGTCAGTTTTAATGTCTGTAAATTATTTTATGTAGTTTCTGCACTAATTTTACTTATATTTCTCGATATAGAATGATCTATCATATATTTGACCAAAATGTGTGATCTGATTGAGAGAAAAAATAACAATCTTATTTTGAAGATTGTTAAGTTTTTGATTGAGATTATGAATTGATTGATTTTAAATCACCATTGAAAACCTGGACGGCCGTTTTGTACTAGCATGGGACTCTTCACCAGTGCACATCCACGATCTCTCATAAGGAATTTGAACCCAGGACTTTCGGTCTCATGAGCAAACGCTTAACCTCAATTCATGATCTCAATCAATAATTTAACTCTGAAGTAATAATATCGCTTCTACTTGCATTATGAAACACTTGGAATTAATTAGTTCAACTTTACTTCTAGGTATCAGTGCTAAGGTTGGACTTGATGGTTTCAAATAAATTGAACATTGGGTGGAAAGTTAATAGATAACCAACTATGGTTATTTATAACAGAAAATATATTTATTATTTTCAACACTACTTGTTTCAGTTATAATATACAAATACCGATTGATATAACAACTTGTGAACCTTAAAATTTAAGATTATTTCCAAAAGATAATCATTCTTAATGGAAGTATTGTATTATCTTCTAGACTGTAGATATACATAATGGAAAGTATAAAGGACAGCGTATTAATACAAGCCATAGTATATTAGTCACTGTTTTGAGATTTTTATCAAACACTATTAGTTAATAATAGATGGAAGTATGTTTTATACATTATATACTAGCCGTCCCAGTATTCAAGGATCAACTACTGGCCAGATTTAACGTTCAATAAGCTAAATATTGAAACTAAAACAAACAACACAATATTGTATTTCATATTTTGAATTTTATCGCATCGATCAACTTATTGATTAAACGTTTAAATATTTGTATTGGAGTCAATTGATGAACTATCGATTAAATGCGCAAATAGGTCAATTGATGAACTCATTGATTAATGTTTAAAAATTTCCTATGACAATATCGATTGTAAATAATTGTATAAATACGCTTGACTTGTATGCTTGATCTGATCTGCCAGACTGGTTATCTGCTGTTTGTCTGTAGAATACACTTTCTACACCTTACCAGACTTCTTGATCGAGTTAGCAGAGTTGGGGACAACGGACCAGAATAGACTATCGAGTCTCTGAAACCTTGATCCGATCGATAAGTCACTGTCATATAATCGGCTGTCACTTTGAGACATAACAATTGGCGAATAAGTCGAATCAGTAGTATCCTCAAGGTTAACGAACTTAACAATTGGCGACGGGGTAAAAAAAAGAACAATCCAAAGTCAGCCTTCAGCATCCAGATTTGTCATCAGTGTACTTCAGCAACATTGGTCATTAATCAAACAGTAATTTTCATTACCGGTGCTGAATAAAAAAAAATGACTCTCCCTTCCGATCGAGTACAGCTGCTATTTGAAAGACAGTTGGAGTTTTTAGTCAAATTACGCACACAGCTGTTAAATCACTCATGCTTTGGAGATGCAACGGAAGTGGATGGATTGATCTCTCAACTGCACACAGAGCTGGAAAATGATTGCAGCCCCAATGAATCCCCGATAAACCGTATTTCAAACGGTACAACAGTCACTCAAGATTCGCCCAGTGGTCCAGTTCTCTCCATTCCAGAAACATGCCCGGTAATGGACTCAAACTCCATTATCCCCAAAACAGCATGTGCAGACGGTGACTTATCCAGCTCACAAACACACTCCCTGGTAAATGCTCATAGAATTGTCGCAATAACCACCCATGAAACAGAAAACAAATCGAGCAGTACACTGAATACAACTGCTTCAAATGGTTCTCATCAGTCTGCGACAGATTTTTTTGACAAATCTTATTATGAAGATTCTCTTTTACCAGAAAATATGTCAGATGCATCAAATGATGATCAAAAACTTAATACAATTTTGATAGATGCTAATTACCTTGATGATCCATTATCTACAAATAAGATTCCAAATAAATTTGGTCACAATATTTCAGAAGAA